AAGAAGCAGGCTGTGTCATACCTACCAGTGTATGTGTTTGTGGGGGGACACTTTAAGTAGGTCAAAGGTGACAGTGTGCAGCTGGGTTTCAAGTAATTTATGCTAGACCTAAAAATAGATCCTGAGACAGTGACTGCATTAAATAAACGTACATCAGCTGGTGTGGGTTATGAAGATGTGCTCAGCCTGTGAAAATTCATCAAAATGGAAGTGTTTATACACGTTGGGATATGTGTTATGTTTCAATAAAAAGTTTAAAAAATAAGTTTCTTTTCTGCTACAGATCCTTAGATCTCTATTCTTTTTGCACATAAGCAGTTACCTGTTTGTTACATATAAATTGCAGAAATAACCTCTTGTGTCAAATACATGAGTATAAATCAGGCATGGTAGTGCATGCCAGTAGTCCCTGCATTCTGGAGGCTGAGGCAGGAGGATTGCTGCAAGTTCAAGGCCAGCTTCAGCTATATAGTGTGTTCAAGGCCATCCTGAACTACATAGTGAGATTCTGTCTTAAAAAACACAAAGACATGTATATACACATATTATCCCTTTATTTATACAAATGAAACTGTATGGCCATGCAAAGTGGCCCACATCTGTAGTTTCTACACTCTGTGATGCTGAGGCAGGACAATTTCAGGTTGGAGAACAGCCTGAGCAACTTAATGAGACCTTGTCTCAAGATAGAAAATAAAAAATGACTGGAGATATAGTTAGTGCAAAGGCCCTAGAGTTCAATCCCCAGTACCAAAGAAAACAAAAACGAAACACACACACACACACACACACACACACACACGTGTTTAGATAGATACTGTAATAGAAAAAGGCCAGTAATTCACAGAACAATAAATGAAAAAATTTGGGACCAATGCAATACAAATTAAAAGGATAATGAAACACAAAATTTTATTCGCTGATTTTACAAAAATTAAAAAGGCTGAGAATATTTGGCACTGGAAAGCAAATATCCTGAAACATTGCTAGTGGGATTGTAAATTGGTACAAAGATTTTGGAGAGACGATTTTGTGATTTCTTATCAACAAAACAATGTCTTATAGAATTTTTTGGCAAATGTACCAGAACTTTTATTGCTTTATTGTTATTATTTAGGTCTGTTTGTTTATAGACAGGGTTTTACTTTGTAGTTTGGACTGGCCTTTAACTCATTACAGAACCCAGGTTGGCTTCAAATAGTGGGGATCCCCCTGCCTCAGCCTCCCAAGGGTTGGGGTACAGGCGTGCATCATCACACCTGGCTACAACATTATTGATAAAAACAATTAGAAGAAATATTTATCATCTTTCATGAGAGGAATAGTTAAAAATAAAGTACATTCAACACTACAGAATACTGTTACTGTAAGAAAATACAAGGTAAAAACTTCCCATTTGAAGAAACAGTAACTAATTTCCAGAAAACTTCTCGCTAAATGGAAACAACATAAACAAAAGTAAAAAGCACTTCTGTCTTCTATGAAGAAGTGAGGCAGTCAAAACCATAAACTACCAACTCCGAAGAGCTTCCAAACACATTGAAATTTGGATAAAGTCCAGAAAGGACAGGGCAGGCAGACCTAGACATTTGCTGGCCTCACATAACTGCAAAAGCTCTGCAGATCTGGGCTGATTAGCCCAAGCTCCTCACCAAAATCTTTTTTATCCGCCATCTCCTGGGGCACCTTATCCTGGTCCGGAAGGATGCAGCACCAGAGCGCGAGTGCGCTCCTGCACTTGGGCATCTGTGTGTGTGTGTGTGTGTGTGTGTGTGTGTGCGCATATGTTGATGGTGGTTGATAATAATGGGTGGAAGGATACAGACCAGACTAAGGAGTGCATGGAATTTGGGGACAAATGAGTGATAAAAGGCAGACTTATATTTTTAAAATATTTTCAAGAATAAATAAGTAGTCAGGTCCCAAATGTGGGTCAGGGGCCCATGACTCCAGGCCCGGGAGGCGGAGGTGAACAGGCGGTGATCTGTCCAGTCCGTTCTCCTAGCAAACTCCTGGCCAGCCAGGCCCCTGCGGCCAAGTGTTGGGAGGAAGCTGGAGCCCCGTTAGGAAGATGCAGTTGGCGACCGGCTCCTTGATCCCTAAAGTAGCTGACATCTTGAACGCCCCTAGGGATGAAAAGTTCCCTGGTTTCTGGGATGATGTTCCCATGGAAACCCTGTCCTCAGAGGGGAGCTGCAGAGTTTTGACTCCCAGGAGTTGAGAAAACAGTAGGGTGTGCATTTCCATTCTGAATACTTCACGGGTGAACTGAGAGTTTTTACAGAGGGCACTGACTGTGAGACTGAACTTCGAAGGCTTTACTTACTCAGTGAGCTACACATAAAGAGTAACCTAGAAGTAAAGCTTTGGAGTTAGACTTGAGTGACAGTAGTAAAGCCTTTCTGGTGGTGAGGAAGAGGATGATGAAGAAGAAAAGCCTCCACCCAGGAGAGGTGGACCTAGAAGAAGCAGTAGTATTGGCCTTCAAATAGCCTTTCAGTTACCCTCTAAGTAACTGGCAAAGAAGCCAGATAAAAATACTTCTGAGTTGTTTCTAGCTCATACTTACAGGATGGTAAAAAAAAAAAATTATTGGAAGAAGGAAAAGCTGCAGACAGACGTTGGAAAGGGAGCATTCTGACCCGGGGTCTCAGGACAACTCCAAAAGCGAGAGCCTGGACGTGCTGCTGTAGAGGAATGTGAACACCAAGGAGAACAAGGCCATGCTTGCTCAGCTTGGCAGAACTGAACTCATGCCAGATTTCTTCCTGGTTTGAACAGCAACTTCAGCTTCCAAGAAGAAAACAATATGACAGGCCTTCTCGGAGAGACAGATCCCAAGATGTATGAACCCAACTCGAAGTGCATAGCCCGGAGAAGTTTGCTCTAGAAAGCTTCACAGACTCTGTCACAAATCCTGCAGAAGTGTTTTATAGTTTTAGAAGAAGGAAGACAATTAGTGGGGGAAATGCCAGAGATATAGTGTTGTTTTGTATCTTCATTTTGGCCAGTTGATTATTATCGCTGAAAAGGACCTGGAAAATGTTGCCATACCTGTTCGAGATAAAAATCTATGATAAAGTTCTGGATAACATGTGCCACTAGTGTTAGCAGAAGGCCATTCATACCAAGACACTGTGTTGGAACCAGAGCTGTGGCAAGGTGTGAGGCCAGATCTATGGACTGTGCCTGCATAATTGCTATAGGGAGGATGTGAGATCAGTGCTGCTGGACCCGGACTGAATGTATCCTCGCTGCCCTGGAATCAGTGACTGCAGTTACTATTGGAAGCGTGATGGCCACTGTGCCACAGAGACCCTCATTCATCTAGCCAAGTGTTACGGTTATGATAATGGGAAGGAATATCTGGAAAGCTTACAGAAGCAACTGGTAAAAGACAAGTGAGAGGAAAAAGAACGAGCCAACTCAGAGTACTGCAAGAAGACATGCATATCATTTGTGCCTAAGATTTCTTAATGTTGTATTTTTATACAGAAATTCTTTGTAGAGTTGACTTTTTCTGAATACTATTTTAAAAAACGTGCTTAAAAAGATTTTTCAGGAAAAGAAAGCAGAGGAATTATATACACACACACAGTATTGTTCTAAGTATGTGCTTAGTATGGTTTAGAAGCACAGTTTAAACGGGGTGGAGTTAAAGTTCAGGTAAAGTTCTTATACAAGAAGACCTTGTATAAGCAGCCATTTCCTTTGGCATTGTTAAATTACCTTTTACTTACCAAACTGCCATCCTGTGCCATTTTTTACTGGCCTTATTACCTTTAGTTTGTCATAGTCTGAGTGATCGGCACAAACTATGTAGTCTGTCTTGCTATGGATCATTTATACTGAAGGATGTTCCCCTGAATTACAAAATTACCACATGACATGAGAGTTATTAGGGTTTTGTTTTTATTAAAACTAAACAAAAGTGGGCTGTCATGTTACAGACACTGGAGGCCTTGGAGTGCCTGTTTTTTTCTTTCATGACTTGCCTGCTGCTTCTAGTTTTGAAAGAATTTTAAGGGCTAAGTTTTCATTAAAAAGATTTTATTCTTCATAAGAAAATTTCCCTTCCTTCAAGCTGTATGGCTTTTGAAGTTCAGTGGAATCTTGGTGGAAATGTGACACCATATTTTTGTGTTGAGAGATGGGATTTCAGAGAGGAGCCCTGGAAAGCTAAAATCAATAAACATACTTACTGAACAGGTTTCTAGTATTTTCTATGTTTGCTTCTTTCTGTCACACTCTCCACTGTTTAAGGATACTGTTTTAAAAACTGAATGCACATGTGAGTTACTAAAAGATTAGCTGGAATGTTTTATGCTTGTAAGTAGGATAAATTAATAGGAAAGGTATAGTGACACAATAGGAGACTGTCATTGTGTTCTGGTACAGGTTGGAGCAACGCAACTCCCGGTACAAGAGCCACCTTAAGCTTCTAGCCATAGAGCCAACCAAGCCTGCCAGGACTCACTTAGCTGTCTTCTCTTTGGTCATCAGCCTGAAGGTCCAGATGTAGGTGGGGCCCCTGATTGCTTATGCACACAGGGCATTCATAAGTGTGTTTGGCTTCTTGTTTGTCTACGGGGATGGCTGATTTAAAAAAAAAAAAAGAATGAGTACACTGTGTGCAATGTTTGTTGTTTTTTTTTTTAAACAAGTAAAAAACAACAGAAGTGGCAGATGGTGTGTTGAGGAACGTGAAGGGCCCCAGATTCGAATACTGCTCTATTCGAATACTGCTCAAACAATCTGCCTCACTTTCATTATCTGTAAAAAGCTGATAATCATCATCAGTCGCCGGCCGCTTAAGAGAATCAAAGGAAAAACCTTCCACTTTGGAGGCCCTAGTTCCGCACCAGGTAGGAGCCCTGTTCCAATCGGGTACCGCCGCGCCGCGACTACCGGGCATCTCGGGACTTGTAGTCCACCTTGCTGGACTCGCCCTCCCAACAAGCACCGCGGCGGCGGTGGCAGGGCTACGTGGCTCGGCCCGCTGCGTCTGCGCGGGCAGGTGGGGCAAGATGGCTACCGAGCATGGCGTGAGGTTTGTCTGTATCCGACCCGGAACAGGGCTGGGTAAAGTGGTGCGGGCCCTTGTGCTGCTGCTGTGGTTTGCAGCCCGCGCGAGTGCGCTCTACTTCCACATTGGGGAGACAGAGAAAAAGTGCTTTATTGAAGAGATTCCGGACGAGACTATGGTCATAGGTGCGTGGGTGAAGGGAAGAGTTCTGGACAGACCGTGGTGTAGGGGCGGTGGGTATGGGACGCTCAGCTTTCCGAAGTTAGGAAGTTCGGGCTTTGCTGTATGCCCTACTGGGTGCGGACCCCGCGCCACCTCCTGCTGTGCTGACCTGATCTCTTCTCGCTTGTTTCCAGGAAATTACAGGACGCAGCTGTATGACAAGCAGCGCGAGGAGTATCAGCCGGCCACCCCCGGGCTTGGCATGTTTGTGGAGGTGAAGGATCCAGAGGACAAGGTGAGCCAGCCCCTTCACCTCGCCGAGCCTTCCACTTAGCAGGCTCTGTGACTTCCCGTCTTAGTTTCCGCTTCTGCTGAAGTGAGAACGGCAGTTGAGTTGTAGGAAGATTCTGGGTTTTCACTGTATGCCGAACTGAGGCTGCTGGAATGCCAGCTGCTCTTCTCATCTTCTTGTTGACTTCTGCATAACTCGGTTCCCTTCCCTCAGCCATTTTCCTGCCTTATGAAATGGATAATTCACTTGTATTGGGGGTGATGGGTAGATTAATTGTAGTAGTAGAAATCAGAGAATACCGTTGGCTTTAAAGCTGTGACATTTAGACTAGGTTTTCACAGAACAACTTTCAAAAAGAATGAACAGCTTCTAGTTTTGACAAATAAGGATATTAAAATGAAAAAACAAAACGCTTGGCTGTCACCTTCAGTCACCTTTATTTTTAAAAAAGAACTGGTCAGGAAATCCCTTTCCAAGAGTAGTCACTGCCAGCCTGATGTCCGACTTCACTCCTGCCCCAAATAGTTTGCAGCAAGCATGTGGCAGCTGCTGCTGCTGATCAGCTTTAGATCTTTGAGTTGTGAGTTACTTAAGGCTGTTTTTGTTAACTTTTTAGTGTTTGGAGCCTTCAGCATGATTTCCTTCCAGCTCATCTCTTCTGAAACATATACTGAAGCCCCTCTCCTTTCTCTAGGTCATCTTGGCCCGGCAGTATGGCTCTGAGGGCAGGTTCACTTTCACTTCTCATACCCCTGGTGAGCACCAGATCTGTCTTCACTCCAATTCCACCAAGTTCTCCCTCTTTGCTGGAGGCATGTTGGTAAGTGGACTCCTGTGAAACTTGAAGAATTCAGCCTCTATGGCCTGGTCAGGAGTATTGCTATTGTGAGTGTGAAATAAATATGTTGGATTTTGTGTCTCCCCAAAATACTAGGTTTTCAGTGAATACCCAGGGCACAGAGGCTGAGCTGTTTGTGTAGTCATCCCTCAATCCTGGTCCCTCCCCATCAATGGATTGCTTAAGTTCTTAAATGAAATGGTATAGCATTTTCATTCAGCTTATACATCCAGCCAAATCCTGATATATATACCATTCCTAGATTACTTATAATCTTTACTACGATGTAAATGCCATGTAAGTTGTTGGTATTTATTGTTTTGGGGATAACAACCAAAAGAGTCTGTACATGTTTAGTAGTTTTTTGTTCTTTTTTTTCGAAAATAATTTTGATCTGGGGTTGGTTGAATCTGTAGGCATGGCACCCACAGATACAGAAACCAGGCTGTCTATGCTTAGGTCAGAGCATCAGTGCAGATTTATTGTGCTGCCTTGTGAACCCAGAGTCCCATAGGTAGACAATGAGGAAGCCTCAGTTTAGTGACCAAATGAACAAATGAAGGAAAGAGGGGTCAGCTGTCAGTCTCTGGCAGGAAGATGGAGCAGGGCTTCCTGCTTCTCCATGTTGTCTTTGTCTGTCCCCAGAGAGTTCACCTTGACATCCAGGTGGGTGAACACGCTAACGACTATGCAGAAATTGCTGCCAAAGACAAGCTGAGCGAGTTGCAGCTTCGAGTGCGACAGCTAGTGGAACAAGTGGACCAGATCCAGAAAGAGCAGAACTATCAAAGGGTGAGTGCTTGGACAAACAGTGGTGGGCTTTTCTATAAGCGGTCCTCTAGCTCAGCCAGGTGTTGTGTGGTAGATTCATTATGAGATGCCCAAGGGACTTACCTGTTGCACATTGCACACGTAAAGCTGAGGGTATTATTAAGTCCATGTTGTAACTGAGGACCCAGACTTGCTTTCTTAAATCATAATTACACAGAAAATGACAGAATAGGAATTGATACAAACACCTAGGGTGTTGCTTGATTGGCTTCAGATGCTCTCAGAACCCAAAATCTCAAACTCATGTGGCCAGGGATGGACAAGTATCATGAATGAACATGTGGTGTATGGAATAGTGGAGTAACCCATCTAAGCAGGGACAGCTATTACTCAGTACTAGCAGCTGGCCTCCTTGTGGAAATGCCAGCCCTGTGTTTTCAGATCTTTTTTTCAAGAGGAGCTAGAGATGTAGGTTTTTCTGTTTTTTATTTTTGGTACTAGGATTGAATTCATGACCTAGTGCTTGCCAGGCAGGCACTTGTGCTGCTGAGCTAAACCCCCACCCAAGGTCTAGGTGTTTATGTGAAATTTTCCTGGGCTTTGAATGTTTGCAAAACTCTTATGTATAGCTAAACAAAACACATGTAAATGTCCAAACCAGTCTATTGGCCACCAGTTTGCAAGCTATGCCCATGATCTTCAAAGAACAATTTGAGAGTCTTGGACAGAGGACTTGGAGCAAGTCTAATACTGAGCATTTATAATAGTTCTTTTGCTTGGAATGATATCTCCATTACCTTACCTCTTCTTCAGATACCGGAACAGGTATACCTACCTATGTGACAGATGAGGAAACTGCTTTAGGAGAAATGATTAGCTTGCTTGAAATGACCTGACTGTTGAGGGTACATATAGTTCCCATGTAGTAATTCTTTACAGGCAGTTGGCAGACACATTAAAGGAGTTCCGTAGGGCATCCTCACAGGCTGGGAACAGAAGTTCTACCAGCCCTATCCAGCTTATACTTACCTTTTATTCTCCCCCTCAGTGGCGAGAGGAGCGTTTCCGGCAGACCAGCGAGAGTACCAACCAGCGGGTATTATGGTGGTCCATTCTCCAGACCCTCATCCTGGTGGCCATCGGTGTTTGGCAGATGCGGCATCTCAAGAGTTTCTTTGAAGCCAAGAAGCTGGTGTAGCCTTCCCAGGCCACACATGCCATTTTGCTTTCCAGGCCGGGGGACAAAGAGCCTCCTAGAACTGAGTCATCTCTGGCAAGGACTGATCTTCAGTCTGTCAGTAGCTAGAGGAGGGGGGCTGCAAGTGTCCTCACGCACAAGCCAAGTGCAGCAGCGTGGCTGGCTAATCCTGAGCAAGTGATGGGACAAAGTGCCTGTCCCCTCCCCCTGGCCTCTGGATCTTTTGCAGTAATCATCCAGGGACTGGTAAAGCCCCTGAGATCCCCATTGGCACCTTAGGATCATCACAGTGTTACTGATCAGGGATGTGAGGCTGCTGTCTGGGATGGGTGGGGGGAGGGGAGATAGTGGGTGGGCAAGCCAGTCTTCCTTCTGTCTTTTTTTTTTTTTGATAACTTGGGATTTTGAGCAGGTTGGGGCGTGGCTGTGACTTGATACTCCAGGAAACTGGCTGTTGTCTCCTTTGGCATAAACCCAGCATGGTCATTTAGGGTGTGTCTGTCTATGCAGGATGATGTGGATGGGGTTTGCAGTGTGGGCAAGTAGCCTGAAAGTTGTTGATCCTGGCTTTTTCACATGATTGTCCTTTCTGGGGCTTGAGCTGGGATGGCAGAGGCTGTGGTGCTGGTTGGGTATGGGACCTACAGAATCTTGTTACTGATTTTCAGTGAATCTAGGTTTATTATTTTGGTTTCCCAATTAAAAAGAATATTGACTTCTTGTCCAGTGTAAAATTAATCTCAGTAGGCATGACACTTAAGAGGATGTCAGTTCTTCCACTGGGCAAAGCTCTATATCCAAAGAGAACCCCACATGTGAAATTTGTTCTTCCTGTCCTCTCCTGGCCTTCTATGTGGCAGGGGTAGTGGGTATTTTCGTAGACCATCCAGCAGATAAACTATGAGATTGGGGCTCAAATTGATCATTTCCTCTGTACCAACTCCCTTGTGATGTCACAAGCATGGTAGGTGTATGCTTCCTGCCCTTTCCAGGATAGGTGAGCAGAATTATGAGTGAAGTGAGAAAACACCTGGTAACCAACTATGGTGGCATATGCCTGTCTGGACAACTTAGTGATTGGTGAGACTCGTAAAATTTAAAAGGAAGACAGGAATTTCATTGTGAAAAGCTTGGGTTGAATCCCCAGTAACACACACCCACATCTGCCCACCCACCCACCTGAGAAGGGAAAGTACTGAGTAGGGGTGGGGCTATTGGTTATTGGTGTGGAAAGGAGTCCCTGGGCTGTGATTAGGGCCAGGACTACCAGGACCACAAAGGAGAAAAGGTGCTTTTGTTTTTCCCCCAGTACTGGGGAACTATCAAGGTCCCGAGCATATTAGGTATATATTCTACCATTGAGTTGTATCCCTAGCTCCAAGGACAAGGATTCTGGGCAAAAGTGTTTAGAAAAAACAGGTGAATAGTTGATAGGGAGATGGATGAACATTCTGGGTCATTGAAAGAGGATGGTTTGAAGAAGCTGGAAAGGGAAGTTTGATTAAAGAGTCTTTGCTGGGCATGGTGGTGCATACCTGTAATCCCAGCAGTTGGGAGGCTGAGCAGGAGGATCACTGTGAGTTCAAGGCCAGCCTGTACATAGTGATACCCTGCCTCAAGTCAAAATCAGTAAGAAAAAGCCTTGAGTGACCAGTAGGAGAGTTGGATATTATGTTAACTCTGAGTTCTGATTGTAAGAACCATCTGAAGATAAATTTTGAGGAAGATGAGTCCAGCAGTGTACAAGAAAGAGTAGGACTAAGGACATAAATTTGGGGCTGTTGGACCTGGTAAGTTATATGAATGTCACATACACTTCCAATTAAAATGTGGGGTTTTTTTTTCTTTTTTGGTACCAGGAATTGAACTCATGACCTTGCGCTTACCAGGCAAGCACTTAAGCTACTGAGCTGTATCCCCAGCCAAAAAGTAGGTTTTTAAAGAATAGCTTCAAAATTACAGAAAAATTGTGAACATAGTTTTTTGTTTTTGTTTTCCCTGTTAGTGCATTTTTGAAATTGTGGTTATGCCATCATACTGCTTGTGGTGCTGGGCATGCTAGGCAAGCATTCTACCACGGAGCTATCCTCCAGCACATGATACATTTTTTAACAATGTCCTTTGTATGTTCCAGGATTCCACAACACATTTAGTTACGTGTCTCGGCTCCTGTTGGCTCTGGTAGTCTCTTAGACTTTGTTTTTTGATGTTTCCTTGATAATGTTGACAAACAGAGGTGAAGTACTTTTTAGCTTTTCCCTCACTAGAGATTTACCCAGTGTGTTGCGTGAATAGATGGAGTTCTGAGTTTTTGAAAGCACAAAGGTGATGTGTGATTCTTACCCTGTCATATTAAGGCTACTTACCAACCTAACTTTACAAATGCATGCCCCATTTTAAAGTTACTTGGATTTTCACATGAAATTTAGTTTCTTAAGATGATGAGCTCACTGTGGGACTTAATTCTGATGTGGCAGCTTGCTGAGTGGCTGTTTAGGTGGGCCTGGGTTCTCCAGGTAACGTGGTCACAGTCCTGCTTCCTTCAGTAGCCTTGTGTGACTTCTGCAGATTGGCTGTGCATTTACCTTCAGCCAAGCGGGCCAGACTTGCCAAGGTTCTGATATAGGGTGCAGTGCCTGGACAGTCACAAAACAGGGACAGGGAGGATTGAACTTTGGAATCTTAGGGGGAAAAGGGTTGCTGAGAATTATTAGCTTCCTACCATTAAGAAGTCCTCTGTAAAGCAGAGTGATTAAGATAATAATTTACCCAGGGTGGGAGATCGATGACGATAGCCTGCAACCAACCTACTTGATTTACACACACTTTAAAGTGGGGATTATAAATACCTACTCCCTAAGTATCGAGTGAAATAGTAGTGAAGAATTTAGAATGATTGGCATATAGTTAAGAACTTATTAATATTTGCTGTTTAATAGGAAACAGTTTGCCTGGAAGAGCAGAGATGATCAAATCTTAAGAATTTTGGGGCTCTAAACTGGGTGTGGAGGTACATGCCTGTAATACAATCACTGAGTCTGAGGCAGGAAGATCCCAAATTCCAGCCTTGCCTGGCCAGTTTATGGTAGCCACTTAGCAAGAACTTATCTCAGCATGGAAAATAAGGGTTTGGGATGTAGCATAGTGAGAGGGCCCTGGGTTCAAAGTCTCCCCTTACCTCAAAAAAGAAAAAAAAAAGTCTTCCCTGGTTGAGGGTAGGACAGCTGAATTCTCAGGATGTCAAGGCATATAGCACAATTTCCTATCTCTGCCTTCTGTTCTCAGCTCTATCGAAGTACCCCTGTCCTGGATGAAAACTCATTTGTTATAGAAACAGCTGTGTGCCCTGCACTCAAGTTTTCCTTTAGTCCTCGCAACACCTAAAGAATAGGAACCATTCACACACATACGTGAGGAAACAGTGACAGAGATTATGGTTTGCTTCCCTAGCTGAATTGGCAGAGCGAGGTTTCAAACCCAATCTGTCTTCAGAACCTGGCTCCTAATTGTGACCCAGGGATTCAGCCGAACACGATGCAGAGTCCTAAACTAACTTTGCTCCTCCTGGGCGGTGGAGGAATGCACCGCCTGGCTGACAACAAGGATGCCGCTCCGCGCTTCTCCGGAAGAGAGGAATTATCCACAGCGCTGGTTTTGGAAGTCTGAAGTCCGAGTCCAGGCCCATTCGGCGATCGGTTGGGCGGTCTGTGGCTTCTGGGGGTTCCGTATTCCGTGTCTCAAGTGGGTCAGAAACCAGCCTAGCGGTGGAAGCGCCCTTGCTCCTCTGCAAGCAGAACCTTGGAGGCGGCGGCTCCTGGGAGCACACGGCTCGGCCGGAGCGACGGACCTGGCGGACCGAGGGGCGGGGCGGACGGGTCTGGGCGGGGCGGGAGGCGGAGGCGCCGCGTAGGCCCGAGAGGCCCGGCCGGCCGGGCTGGGAGCTCGAGCCCATGCGCCACCGCCTCCCCCAGCGATGTTCCCCTCCCGGAGGTAAGCGGCGCAGCTGCCCTGGGAGGACGGCAGGTGAGCGGCGGCGGCCGGCGCGGACCCTGTCCTCCCGGTGCCGCGCCTTTGTGGCCCGCTTGCGGCCGCGGCGTCTGCGTCTCTGCGGGTCTCAGCCTGTGACTCCCTGTGGCTCACTGGCGCTGTCTGTGTGGGTCTCTCTCTTTCTCTGTCTCTCTGTCTCACTGTGTTTGTTTCTCCGTAAGCCTTTTTCTGGGTCTTTTTTGGGTGTGTGTTTGGTTTTCTCCACTGGCTTGTCCGTCGTGCTGCGGGTCTCTGACTTCATTGGCTCATCTTTCTGCCTTTCCCTGGATTGTGAAGACCTTTATTCCGTTTCTCTGGTGTCTGTCTCCTCCGTCACATCCATCTAGCCTCAAACCCTACCCCCTCTCCTTCATGCGCCTCAGTAACTTCTGCCATTCCAAAAGAACACACCAGACAGAAGCGTAGTATGTGCTGCCGGGTTGGCCACTGCCTGGTGTGGACTGCACAGCCCCACTTACCCATTAGTTCATTTCCTGTGCAGCTGCGTTTGCGTGGGGCCTGCCCCGCGTGTTAGGTGAGAGCTTGGCACAACTGTAGCTAATGACAACAAGCAAAATGGGCAGAGTGATTTGGCTGCCTAGATTTAGGGGGACTCCACACTTAGGCTTGAGATGTACCCTCAAACTCTTGTTTCCTGGTACACATGATAGTTGATCTTTACCCAATGACATCTCATTCCCTTTATGTCTCTTAAATTTGTTAGGTACTGTAAGACTTTGGAATTTGTTAGGCGCAGCTCTTGCCACTTTGGGGCTTCTTCAGACTTGGTGTTGAAATGAGAAGTCAGGAATAGAATAGAAAAGTCTACCAAGACTACCAAGTCAGCCATGAGCAAGAATCCTATTTAACAGACCAGAAACAGGTAACTTCCTCTTTCTGACTTCAGCCTCACATTTTTGAAATGAGGATCTTAATATCTGCATGGCTGTATGAGAACTAAAGGAGATTATATGTGTAAAACCCTTGGCATTGCCAGGCGTGGTAGTGTGTCCCTGTAATCCCAGCACTCAGGAGGATCACTGGGAGTTCCACACCAGCCTGTGCTACAAAATGAGCTCAAGGCCAGCTTGAATTGCATAGAGAAACCATGTCTCAAGAAGACAAAAACAAATGAATAAATAACCCTTGGCATTGTGCTCGGCACAGAGGAGGTAACAGTCATCTCCTAGTTACTTTTGAAGTGTTGTACAAAGGAACCAAACATTCAAACATTTTACCATGAATGACTGAGAGTAGAAATTAGAATGGAGAAATATTTCTATTTCCTGACCCTAATACATAACTGTTGCCATAAAATTTTGCTGATACCCATTCTATGCTTTTGACATAGGAGTACAAAGATCCATGTAACAAATGCAGGCTAGTGTAGTAATTAAGTGCTGGTTCTGGAGCCAACCTGTCTGGATTTGAATCCACCTCTTAGTAGCTTTGTGCAGTGATTGATGGATACAAAGCCTCATCTGGATTGCCCCTCAGAGGTAGAATGGTCTGGCCCTGAGAACAGCTGGTACTGCAGTTCTGGAGCTGGCCACCAAGTGGCACCAGGAGCAGCTGTTCTCAGGGTCCACTGTCTAGGAGAATCAAACACTGGACTCAATTAAGTTGCTTTGGGGTTTGAGCTTTTAAGAGCACAAGATGCGAATGCCTATGCGAACAGGAGTCTCATCAAAAAAGACAATCCAGATTTTTTTTTTTTTTTTGGTACCAGGGATCGAACTCAAGCCTGTGCGCTTGCAAGGCAGATGCTTATGCCGCTGAGCTAAATCCCAGCCCCTGACAATCCAGATTTTAAAAAATAGTCTAGGGAAGTACGTGAAAGACCCAAATCCATGCCATACTCCTGGATAATTGTCAGTGCTTCTTCCCCCAAAGGGCAAAGCTTGCCCCATGTCCATTTTCACAGTCTCCACCTTGTACTCAGAAAGAGCCCAGAGGGAGAGAGAGACTCTGTGGAAGTTCCAGTCTCCCTAGGTCACATGCAGGACTGGGCTCTGCTCTTCCCCAGCGGAAACAACCAGCGCAGGACCATAGGGGGTAAGTCAGAACCCCTGTGAGGGTGTCCTACTGGACCACCTCTCAGCTGCGTGTGGGGTTTGGACTTGGCTTCAGGGCTGCTGGCTTCCACACTGGCAATTGTGTCTCTAGAGAAAGGTAGGCAGTGGTCTGGCTCTGGTGTGTGACCTAAAGCATGCCTGGACTGCTTAACCTTCCCTTAACTCATTTAGCAAGCCCTTTGCTGTCTGGCCTGTGCCGAGACCACAGATAGGAGTCTGACATGGTCTTTGTGCAAGATTATGGGACATCACAAATGCTTTAAGAGGGAAGTACCAGATGCCATGGGAACGAAGGAACCTCATAAAGACATGGTAATGGGCAATGCTGACCATGACATTGGAGTTTGGTTCAGCAGAGGACTTCCAGGTAGACACAATAAAGCAGAGCATGTCAGGTTGAAGGAGCAGGCTGTGTGAGAGAGGGATGGAGCAGGAGAGAATGTGGTGAGTGCAAAGGCCTAGAGTTGTTCAGAGTAAGATTGAATGGTTGGGAGAATCTGGAGACTTGATTGAGTCACAGAGGGCTGTAACAGTTAAGCTGATGAGGTTGACTTTTATCTTGTAAACTGTCTAAGATTAAAGGGATCTGAGCAGTGAAGAACAAGATGAGTAAGAATGATCACAAAAGAACTTTGGAGGTAGAGTCTACCAGACTTGATACCTTAATTCTTGACTCTTAGAGATTGTAAACTCAATTCTTTTGTACATTATTGGTGGAGAGTGTGATTATAGAGGAAGTTTCCCTCTTATATTTATCAGTTCCTAGCTTTGCATCCTCTGGAAGTTCCAGAGGTGGGATAAAGGAACCTGTTTCTTGCACTTCCTAATTTAAAGGCAGTCTCTCGGTGTCACTCCATTATTTAAGATACTCACCTGCATGTCCAGTTTCCGAAATGAGCCGGGGTGCTGCACCAGCCCTTGTCTTTCCCTCATCTGTCTCTCTTGTCTCATAGGCTACCTCTGGGACTGAAGGTTTGAAACTCATTCTAGGAGCTGCCACTGTGCATTTTGGTCTTGCATTGCTTTGGGGGCAGGTCTGGTTTTCCCAGAGTAGATACTGGTCGTTTGATCTGGGACTCCTGCCAATACACACCCCTATCCTGGTGCGGGTAGGGAGGGAGTGTTCTGGTCAGCCTAAGAAGCAGGGCAAAGTCAAGATTTCTGCTGGGGTGAATCCACAGGGAAACAGGTTTTGAAGTCAGTGGGTTGCATCTCTCGAAGGTGGGGCATCTGCCATTGGCTCAGGACATTGAGGCACTACCCAGGGGAGGGGGCAAGCAAAGAGACAGGGAGCCTTGTGCCTGCACTGCTCATGGTCAGATGAGGATTAATTTATGGAAAGTAAAGTATGAAGGAATTCCAGCAGCTTGCAAGTTGGGAGTGCTCAGAGTATCTTGGAGGTGAGGTGGCATGAGCTGGGCTTAGAGAATTAAGCAGGATTCTGAATATGGCCGTAGCATGAGCAAAAACATTAAAATTGCTTTTGTACTAATTTCCAGGTGCTTGGGGTACACCATTCATGTATGGCCTATGCATGGGGAGGCCAGAAAAGGGGTCCATCAGAGGGTTTCAACTTGGTCCTGCCCTCTGACTCCAGCTCTACTCTTGTCCCAGGTCCAGATGGTTCCTTGGTGGCCTCCCCCGGAAATGCTCCGTCTTCCACCTCTTCGTTGCCTGTCTCTTACTGGGCTTCTTCTCCCTACTCTGGCTGCAGCTCAGCTGCTCTGGTGATGTGGCCAGGGCAGCCAGGGGACAGGGGCAGGAGACCCCAGGTCCACTCCAGGTTTGCCCCCCAGAGCTACCCCCTGAGCACTGGGAAGAAGATGCATCCTGGGGCCCCCATCGCCTGGCAGTGTTGGTGCCATTCCGTGAACGCTTTGAGGAGCTCCTGGTCTTCGTGCCCCACATGCACCGCTTTCTAAGCAGGAAGAAGATCCAGCATCACATCTATGTGCTCAACCAGGTGGATCATTTCCGGTAGGGACCACTCATTCCTCCACTCTTGACGTGGCACCCCGCACCTTGCTTAGGCCACTCAGAACATGTTCCCAATGCTGAATCCACTCAGGCCTGTGAGAAGCCACCAGGGGTAGGGGCCTGAGGATATAGGTGGTAGAGCTCTCTCACTAGGTATGATGGGAATTTTTGGGGATGGCTCAGATCAATTTCTGTTTTAGAAGGATTACTGTGACCTCTGTATGTGGAATAATTCAAGACAAAAAGATGCAGGGATACTGGATAGGTGGTCCCTGAAGTCATCAGAGATGATGTTGGCTCACCCAGGATGGTAGAAGGGCGTAAGAATCATGTAGAGAAAGGACTTGTTAGTAATTGGTTAGGGGGACTAGGAAAAGAGAGAGTCCTGCAGTTTCCCAAAGTATTAAATCCTTGTCTTTATCTCAGACTGCTCCTCTTAGTTACCACCATTCAAGCATTTCATATTCCAAAGCCTAATTCTTTTCTCTCCGACTTTATTCCTGCTGGAAGATGGACTCCAAGGATTCCTGCACCCCACCCAGTCCACAAGTCCCTGGATCCCCCCCTGTCTTCACTGCCAGCTTTCCTCCCTACTTTCTCTTAACCTGGAGTCCATGGTGCATCATTAAGAAGCACTCTGTCATGTCCATCCTTAACCTTCTGTCCCTAAACAGCAATATGTGCAGCCACACCATTCATCTCCGATGATGAACCCTGACCCAAGAAGCAGGTCCCCAGTCCTGCTGGCAGCCTGCATTCCTCTAGCCCGTCCCTGGCAGTCTTCGATACCACTTCTTGGCGTTCCTGCCTTACCCTTATGCTCAGCTGATGACTTTGCTTCTTGCTTCTAAACAAACCAGTTGAAAGAGACTTTCCTTACGCTCCACCACCTCCACTCACCTCCTAGCTTCCTTTCTGTTCTGGGAATGACTGTCCCAGTCTCTTGGGGGCCGACTTTGGCACTAGACCCCTCTCCCTCCCTCCTACTCACGGAAAGTGCTCCAGCGTCTGCCCTCTTTTGCTCCTGTATCTCTCATGTTCCCTTTGCCTTGGAGCATTCACATCTGCATACACACATACTAAGATAGCACCCCGCTAAAAAGAAAACAGGGAAATAACTACTCCCTCCATTCTGTATCCCCCTAAGCTGTCACCCCACTTCTCTTTTGCAACAGAACTCCTTCCCTTGAAATCACTCCATTAGACATTGGCCTACATTGTGACACTGAAATGACCCACTTTGAGATCACCGCTCCACTTAATCCCAAACCTTCATCCTGTCAACCCGAGAGCATCTGCTAACCAATTACCTACTCTGAGGCTTTCCCATGGCTCCTGGGACAGCACTCTGGTTCTCCTCCATCCTTGCTGGCCATCTCAGCTCATGTCTTTTGCTAATTTTTCTTCATCCCTCTCATCTCGGTGTTCCTTGGGGCTTAATGTTTGAGCATCACCTCTTTTTGAGCTGCAGTCTTTCCCTGCAAGTCTCATCCAGTCTCACAGCATTAAATTCCTGCTGACTCTTGATTCTGTATTTCCAACCCAGATTCTAGACCTTTTTCTAGATTCCAGACTTGCCTTGCATTTGCTTTGGCGAGTCTTCCAGTGGGTAGTTTCAGAGGCAGCTTGAGCTTTACATGAACCCAGTGACAGTTTTCTTCTTTTCTCTTCTTTCTTTCTTTCTTCTTGTTTTTTTTTAGATGGAGTCTCACTATGTAGTTCAGACTGACCTTGATCTTACTGTGTAGCCCAGGCTGGTCTTGAACTCATGGTGCTCCTCCTGTCTCATCCTCCTGAGTGTGACTACAAGTGAACTCCTAATTTCCCACTCAGACTTGCTTCTTCTACTGTCCTCCCCTCTTCAGAAAATGGAAACTCCATGCTTCTAGCTGCTCAAGCCGACACTGCTGTGAAGTCATCCTCATCTGGCCTTTTCTTGTTGTACAGCACCCAGTTCATCAGCAGAATATGTTTAGAATCTACCCACTTCTTGCCATCTCCACTGCTGCCTCTTTCAAACAGGCCACTGTTACCTTTTTCTCCCAGTTGGTCTCCTTCCTTTTACTGCCCCCACAACCCTTCTCAACATGTCCGCTAGTGAACCTCCTACAATATAAGCGCCTCACACCTGTGCTGCAAGTCGCATAGCAGCTCTTTACCCATCCAGCATCAGTGTCCTGGTCCTTAAGTGCAGTCAGCTCCATCAGCCCCGTCAGCCCTGGCCTCTCCCGTTCACCCCTTCACTCTTTCCAGCTGGGTTGCTGTCTCCTCTTGCCTCAGATTTTGGCAGTTGCCTTTTCCTCTGCTTGGAGCTGCGTTCCTCCAGCTTCCTTATAGCTCATTCCCTCAGGCCTTTGGATTTCTATTCAAATGCTGCCCAGTCACCCTGGCCCTCCCTGACAGCCCTGTGTAAGGGAATAGCTGCTCCCCCCCCCCCCCGCCCCAGCAAGTTTTACTCTCTTCATCTGCTTGACTTTCCCCAAAACCCTCATAACTGTCTGCCTTGTTACTTCTTCTCATTTGCTTCTTTGTTTACTCCTATAGCACTGTCAGCTCCTTGAGAGGAGGGCTTTGTTCTCTCCCTGATGTGTCTCCCAATGCAGTTGTGAACAGTTTTTAGCATTTAATAGGTGCTTAATAAACACTTGTGCAGTGAGTGGAGGGCATAGCCCTAAGTGTGAGGGATTGCTGGGCTGCGAGGAGGGACAGCGTCTCAACCCAGACGCTCCAGGGACAGGGACTCTTGTGCAGAGCTGGGACACAGAGCCAGGTAGGGAGCAAGCTCTTCTGCCCAATGCCCAACCCCAGCTACTCTGCACAGGTTCAACCGGGCAGCACTCATCAATGTGGGCTTCCTGGAGAGCAGCAACAGCACCGACTACATTGCAATGCACGACGTGGACCTGCTCCCCCTCAATGAGGAGCTGGACTATGGCTTCCCTGAGGCTGGGCCCTTCCATGTGGCCTCCCCAGAGCTCCACCCGCTCTACCATTACAAGACCTACGTGGGCGGCATCCTCCTTCTCTCCAAGCAGCACTACCAGCTGGTGAGGCCCAGCCCAACCTATTCTGCTCAGGGCTAGGGAGCCCCCCAACCCCCATCCTGTCATGCTCTGAGTGGATGCACTTGGCAAGATGGAGCAGCCATCCTGGGGTCTAGCAGATGAAGTCCTGCCTGGACCCAGCAGGGGACCCAGTGGCAGCCAGAGACCTGAGAGAAGAGGAATGAGCAAGTCGGGGGCGGGGGGGGGCGGTGCTCTGCTGTAGCAACACAAACCTCCATGACAGCTGGCAGTGGAAAATGAGATGTGCTGGCCCAAAATTGCAAAGTAGGGTAGGGAGAATGTGGCTTCAGGTGCACCTTGCCTGCCTCAGCCAGTGTCCCTGGAGTACCATGTCCTCCATCTCTCAGCCCTGCCTTTCCTATGTTAGTCAGGAACCTGTCGGTTTCAGATGTGTAGTCCTGTGAGGTTATTGTAGCTCTTCTAGGCTTTGGTGTGGTGGGAGACTGACAGCAGCCCAGACAGGAGTCCCTCAGCTGAACTCAAGAGGCTCTGGATTGCTCTGTCCCTGGTTGGGTGAGAAGAACTGAGTGGCTTAGGCTCTGGGCTTCTGTTTTCTTCAAATCATGGCTGAAACCTGCTTTATGTAAACTCAAGATTTAAAAATAGGTGTCATCATAGAGCTCACCTGTGGCTTCCTGTGTCACATAGGAAGACAGTGGCAGAGCGACTTTAGGAGAAACGAGTGTATGAAGAGAAGACAGAAGTCATTGTTTGTTGATACTCTGCCCAAAGCCATCCTCTAGAGAAATCCCTTCTGACCAGTCAGACATTTTTTGTGACACTAATCATCTCATACAAGTTCAAGGCCCCAGCCAGGAGAGGAAGAGGAGGAAGGGGGAGCCTGTCAGGCTTGGGCTGGATTCTCCTAAGCATTAGGATGCCAGAATGCCCCTGGGAGGAGGGGCAGGTGACAGATGCTGCCTGTCTTTATGTCAGTGCAATGGGATGTCTAACCGCTTCTGGGGCTGGGGCCGCGAGGATGACGAATTCTATCGGCGCATCAAAGGAGCTGGGCTCCAGGTAAGGCTCCCAATGCCTGGGCTCTGGGATCTCCTCACTCAGTGTAGCTGCCCTGAGGTTGCTTTCTCCAGCTGTGAGAAGTTCCTCCAGTTGGGAGGTGCCCACACCCTGCTTCCAATCCCTGCCAGCAACCTGACTTGCAGTGGTTGTTTCACTGGCCCTTTGTCCTCTTCTGCAGGATGGCAATACAGTCCCCTACCTAGGGTTCCTGGTAGGTGGTGGGACCCCAGAGAAGCTAGTGGTGACAGCCCAGGGCTCCAGGAGGTGTGGCCTGACCTCTGTTTTCCTCCGTCTCCTTAGCTTTTCCGCCCCTCGGGAATCACCACTGGCTATAAGACATTTCACCACCTACATGACCCAGCCTGGCGGAAGAGGGATCAGAAGCGTATTGCAGCTCAAAAACAGGTACTGGCTAATGTCCTTGTCAGGGATGGTAGTGGTGGTCTGGGGAACTGATAGGCCTGAGCATTTCACCAAGTACTGAGGACTACAGCTGCACTCTCTTTGCTTGCCCAGGTCAGTCAGTGGGCATTTTACTTAGGCACTATGGTCTGTTCTGTTGGCTGCCATTGGCTGTCTGGGTACTCTGGGTCAGCCCACACTGCAGGATCTATGCAGACTGGTGGGTGGGGGGTAAGGGGCAGGCTTACCTAACAGTGCCAGGATCCTAGCAGAGTTATGATGCTGAGATGACTGTTCTCAGAAGCAAAGGAAAAGTCCTGTTCTCCTGCTTTATTCCTGGGTGCAGGCTTGGGCAAGAGACTTCACTTCTCTGAGCTTTGGGTTCTCTCTTCATGGGCTTCACAGGAACCTTAATGATGAGGTCCTGTGAGATCGGGGACAACCAGTACCGTGAGATGCTGAGTACATGCCCTGTCCTCCTTTCCTTCCCAGGAGCAATTCAAGGTGGACCGGGAGGGAGGCCTGAACACTGTGAAGTACCGGGTGGATTCCCGCACAGCCCTGTCTGTGGGCGGGGCCCCCTGCACTGTCCTCAACATCGTGTTGGACTGTGACAAGGCTGCAACGCCCTGGTGTACCTTTGGCTGAGCGGCGCAGACAGTAAGGAAGCCTGTGCCTACAGGCCGCACAGCTGCTCAGCTGAGGCTGGAAGCCAGGCCTGGGGCCCGGCTCTCTTAGGAGACAGAGTGACCTGAAGAAACGTCCGGCTCTGTATTGCGCCAGCCTGGCCCCCAAAGGGAGGCTTGAACTGGGACAGGACACACATGCCTGAGACACTGCTGGCAATAAAGAGTGATCATTGAACGGCTGAAAATGCTTCGACTAGAACTCTCCACCTGGCCTTCCTGCTGTTGTACTCTGCCCTCCTTTGTGTGCGGAGGCCTGCAGGCAGCGGGAAGGGTTGAACTGGACAACTTCTAACTCGCCTCACTCTTGGTCCTTCCCGCCGGACTGCCTGATGCAGAGATGCGGTTTAGAAGCCACGTGGCTGATGTAGGTGGCAGTTGCCGTTGGGACGCTTAGCACTTCAGAAGCCAGCACACAAGCCCCACAGAAAAGAACAGCAGATACCAGCTCCAGCTGGTTTTCACATATAGGAATGTGGACCTCATGTTACTAGACCTTTTGATTTTTCAAAAGAAGCTAGAATGCTGGATTCTTAAGTGAAATCTGATTTTTTAATGATAGCAGCTAATTGAAACTTTTGAAAAGTACAGCAGGCCAAACAAAATGTGGTGGACCCTGGTTTGTCACTTTTGGCTGTGGAGGAGGAATGGGCAAAAGATGACCCTCTTTTAGTTGTCCAGGAATTAGGTCAGGAGTGGGATGGCAGGTCCTGATGGGAGGCGAAGCTGAGGGCACAAGGTTCAGTACACCTTGCTGCCCAAACCTCTGGGTTTCCAGGCAGCTCCCTGGGCTCCATGTGGGCAGTATGTCCACTGTCAAGCTCCCTTGGGTTGGGCTTTGACAGGGAGGGCTGCTTCATCCTGCCTCACTGTGATGGAGACAGACGAGCAATGAGGACCCACAGGACTGTGTCTCAAGTCCAGGCTGGAGGGACGGAGGGAAGTGGCAGGAAGGAAGTAGGCAAGTCCGTGGGGTGTTCCTGTAGCAGGAGGGGGACCTCCAGCAGTCTCCAGGATGACCACCAAGGAAAGGTGTAGGGTGGGGGCTGAGCAAGCCTGAGACCGCGGTGTGAAGTTGGAGGACGCCTTCGGAGGGAGTGGGAGGTGAGGGGCCCTGTGAGGCAGGTCACTCCTTCGAGGCCAGAAGAGATTGTTGGGATCATCTGAGCTGTTTATTTAGGAGTGGGACACCTTGAAGTCCTGAATAAGGAAAGGATTGAGGTCACAGAGTTGGGAGCTGGTCTAAAGAGTCCTCTGAGGATGACGTGGGGACTCTGACGTGCAGTTACATGGTTTGTGTACTGTGCCTGTGTGGAAGCTAAGAAATTTAAACAGAATGGTCGGTGTTAAGCTTGAGGTCTGACATCTAAACCACGCTTGTAATCCAGGGTGGCTGCTGCTGAGTAATTGAGCCTTACTGGTGGAAGTGAGGGGCAGACAGGCCTCAGCCGGCTGTAAGTGAAGGAAGAAAGCAGACACGGGGAGATGCAGAGTGTCTGTCCTGTGAGTCCTCTGCCTCAAGGAAGATGGGGTTCAGTTGCTAGACAGGTTCCTAGGGGCTGAGGGACACCGCAGGGCATCAGTGGGACCCAGAGCATGGCACCGTAACAGTACATTCGTCAGTCCCAATGGGAAGGGTTTCCAGAGGGGTCACCTCAGGCCTAGGCAAGTTAGGTTCAGGTGAGCCTGGCACCTTACTGTGCAGGCATGGGAGGTGGAGGGGACTCATAAGGATCTGTAGGTGCCACACCAAGCAACTTGTAATTATTTTCCTAGGGGTGCAGGAAATGAGAGTTTAGGGGGAGGGCTAGATCCGCTGTTGTAAAACATTTTAGCTGGCAGGACCCAGGGTGGGCTGAAGTGGGGTCCAAGGAGAGACAGCCTAGTCCAGATGAGAAGTGATGGGACAAGAATGAGGCGGTGAAGCCAACCTGCTGGCTTCCTGGCCAGGATCGCCTGTGTACCACTGGGCCTTTCCTGCACACAGCCACTCCCCTGCAGAGCTTTTGCCATCTCAGCTTTGAACTTTGAGAAAACATGCACACACAACAGGGCAGTTTTTGGTGTCAGCATGAGCCTGTGCAGAGTCATCACTCCCATGTTTACAACAAGAAAAATGCTCAACCACCTGAAAGGGAGCTGCTCATCTTGGACCCATGGGGGACAGGAAGTTGCAGGACAAACTGCCACCCCAAAACCTAGAGAGACAGACCCAGTGACCATCAGCTTATCTAGAGCAGAAACTGCTGGAGCCATGAACTAGTAGGGAAATTTAAACGGTGATTTTCACAAGTTGATAGAGGCTAAACGTAAAGAGTCAAAATGGACATCCATCTCCTACAAGGGAAAGGAAACATTTAAAAATATGCTCTAAACTAGGTGGTGTAGTTCAATCTCTGTAATCCCAGCTATGTGGGAGGCTGAGGCAGGAGGATAACTTGAATCTAGTGCGAGTTTAGGGTCAGCCTGAGCAACCCAGGCACCAGCACTCCCTCTCAAAACAAAAAATGTTACCAGGGCTCAACTCTCTCAGGTTAGAACAGTTTCCTCAAGAGAATGGGAAGAAAGCTAAGAGATACCTGTGAATGTCGTAACTCAGGACTCAGATGCACTAAAAACTAAGATTTAATTATAAAATTACAAAATGCTTCCCTGCCTCATTCTTGTTCCCTCTAATATGCTCAAGGCTCTGAGGGAAAAAGGAGACAACATGTAAGATCAAGTGAGTAATGGAAGCAGGTGAAAACTCAGTGAAAGGGGATGCTAGAAATAAAACCCTATAATAGGGATGAAGAATCCCCTCAAGGAGGTCACAGATAGACTGACTGGACACTGCTGAGGAAAAAATCAGTGATTCTAAAGATGTGATGGAACTTACCAAACTGAACTGCAAAAATAAAAGAGAATTTTAAAAATGCAATAATCCAAGTGCCACGGTGCATGTCTACAAATCCTAGTGCTTGGGAAGCTGAGGCAGGAGGAGCCCAATGTGTGTGTGTGTGAGGTGCTCCTGAGCTACTCAGTGAGACCCTGTCTCAAAAAACAAAACAAAGTGTAGCATATTCACTATTGGAACACCAGAAGGGAAAGCAAGAAAGGACAGAGTAGAAGAAATATTTCAAGCAATGAAAGTAATGATGGCTGAGAGTCTTCTAAAATTAATGGGAGACACCAAAATATAAGCCTAGGAAGCTTAGAGAACACTAATTAGTATCAATATCAAAAAAAACCTACAACCCCCCCCAAACTCCCAAACCTAAAACAAAAATTCAATACTTATACATCTCCTCAAATTATAGAGAAAAAGCAGCCAAGTGTGGTGGGTGTACCCCTTAATCCCAGCACTTAGGAGGCTGAGGCAGGAAGATTGCTGCAATTTCAAGGGCAGCCTGGGTTGCTTAGTGTGTTTGAGGCCAGCCTGAACTACACTGTGAGACCTTGTCTCCAAAAAACCAAGATAAATAAATAACAAGTATTGAAAGAAGTCCCAGAAAAATCCCAGACTACCTACAGAAGAAACAGGAATCAGCCTACTTCTTGTCAGATGTCACGCAAGAAAAGAAAAAGGGGTGAAATTTTTTTCCTTTTCACTGTGTTGGGTTGAAGCCAGGACCTCAGCATGTGAGGTGAGTGCTCCCCACTGAGCTGCTTCCCCAACCCTGAGCATAAAATACCTTATCATCAACCTAGAATTCTGTATCCAGCCAAAGTATTGTTCAAAAGTGTATGTAGTAAATCACTAAATCACTACATTTTATGCTTAAGATGATTTAAATGGTAGATTTAGTTATACAAATTATCTGGAAAGAGAAATAAAAACCTTATTAAAAAAGTTAAATTTATTGCCAGCAAACACACACTGCAAGATATATGAAAAGTTCTTTAGTGAAAAAGATGACATAGATCAGAAATTCAGACTTGCATTAAAAAAGGAATAAGTGAAGGTAATAGAAATAGAAAATCTTTTTTATTTCTTAATTGATCTACAAGGTGACTGTCTAAAGTAATAAGAGCAACAGTCTGTCGGGGACTATAGTATAAGAGGAACAAAAGAAATGCGGTAAGAACGAGGAGAGCCAGTGGTGGCTGAGGCAGGAGGGTCGTGGCCAGTTTAAGGCCAGCCTGAACTATGTAATTCTACATAGTGTAAAACAGAATTGACAAAAGTGCAATTTGAAAGTGAACTTTCATTGTAAGATTCTATGTTCACTACGTTCACTACGTTACACTACGTGTAAGATGTCTACATTCACTGTTAAGTTTGCATGGCAAACTGACAATGAATTAAAATGTATTAAGAGAAGTATAATGAGGTAAAACGCAACTTCATGCCTGTAGTGTTTAGTGTTTCACTGACTTTGCAGGCCTAAAGCCGGTAGTCTGATCATCTGTTCAGAGGATAACAAGACACAATGTGGCATTTAAGGGGAATCTCCTTCTGAATGTGGTGGCCATTGTTAATTTCATATTATCTTGTTTTGAAGTCCTATATCTTTTTTTTTGAAGTCCTATATCTTTTCATTGTTTTTTTGGGTTGGGTTTTATTCTGTTTTATCTTGTATGATTTTGTTATATCTGATGGCATGGACAGCTATTGTGAAGATAACAAGATATATTATGGTAGCCATTTTGGATTTACTATTATCTTGTTTTGAAGTCCTTTAATGCATTCATTGTTTTGTTTTTATTGGTTCTATTCTGTTTTGTTTTGTTTGATTTTAGTATGTCTGGAGGTATGGGCAGCTATTTTAAAGACAAGAGGCATTATGGTTACCATTGTTGATTTCCAATTATCTTGTTTTAAAATCCTGTGTCACTTACAGTGTCTTGTTCTGATTGGCTTTATTCTGGTTTATTTTGCTTTGCTTTATTCTCTCTAAAATAAAATTTAAAAAAAGAAAGAAAAATGTTGTTTTTTCTTTCTTGTTGTTGCTGAGGATGGCTGTGGTACTTTTCAGGGGAGCCCTGGTTCTTATTTTGAGCATCCTTTCTTGGCTCCAGGACAGAATCCTCAGCCTGCTGGCACAGATCCTTCACCCCGCTGGCATAGACTGTCTGGCTTCCATTGCTGACCTTTGCACCTTCCCAGCATAGATCTGTGAAATAGATTTACATGGGTCATTGTCATGGGCTCTAGGTTGTCAGCTGAACTCATACAAGTTATCGTCATGGGGTCCGGCCTACCAGCTGGATTTTCCTAGATCTCTAGTGTTGTGGACAGATTTCCTGCACTTTCTTTGTATTTGTATCCTTGGGTGACCATTATAAATAGTAGTATAAATTATGTGTCCTGTATGTAATTGTTCTCCTGGCAACCTCGCACTACAACATAATGAGACTCTGTCTCAACAAAACAAAGGAAACTAATGTTCTAAAAGAGGAAAGAAAATGGATCCATAAACTAAAGACTTAGTTCAAAAGGTGCAGCGCATCTGAAGGCTGGCAAGTTCAAGACCCAGGAAGAAGTGGTGTTTCAGTTGACATCTGAAGGCAGAAACAAAGGCTTTTGGTTCTGTTCTGACCTTTAATTGCTTGGATGAGGTCCATTCATGTTAGGGAGGGCAATCTGCCTTCCAGTCTGCTGATGTAAGTACTAATTTCATTT